ATTAGGTTAATTTAGTCCTAGTAGTATACGTACACTCTCATAAGTATGAGAACATTTATCGAGTATAAATTGTTGTATTTCTAGAACGAGGATCATTTTCAATAGAATCACGACCACTTTTAAAACGTTCATACCACATGTAAACATTTGTTTTCGATAAAGCAAGGTCACCATAACATTTTTGTAGCATAGGTACCGTATCCGCACGTTTGATTTCACTTTTAATACAAAATTTAATGCAAATTCGTTGCTCTGTTTTATTAACCATATTAAAAATCACCCAGACACGAAAATTTGATGTAAACAGAACGCTGTAATTAAGACATATGATTAGACTGCGGATTTTATGCATTTATAGCCTGTAGGGCTCTGTGAAATATGATAAAAAACAAAACATTCATCGGATCCAACGAGATTTCTTATTATATTATATTCTAAACCCAATTAGATACTTAACAGGAAAAATAAATTTCTACATTTGCTACTGTTTTCCTATAGAAAATATTATTTTGCATAAAAATCCGCAGTCTAGCTATAACAATGTTGGATTTATTTAAATGGCGTTATGGCACAATTATACCTTATAATTGTGGTCGAAGACGGCTAGTGAATGTGTTCGATCCAATTGCCCTGTTTTTTGTCTTCTGTTTCTGTTTTCATAAGTAACACGTCAATGATAAGCTGTCAAGCTGAATATTGGAGGGAATGTAAACAACAGTTGTGCCAATAAAAAAAAATAAAAGTTTCACGATATCATATACGCGCGATATTTAAATGAAAAATTCCTGAAACTTTTTAAACATAGCAGTATACGGCAAAAAATCGTGAGTACCTACCTTAAACCCCAAGTATTATCGTAAATCGTATCATTTAAAGAGGGCGATACACGATCACGCTATTTCAATTGTTCTACATCGGGTAAAATAGAAACTGGTCCAGTCGACGGCCGACCAACCTCTTCGCCAAGTCGTGATTCAGCGACTGCGACGGCGCGCGGCGGCGGGTGCCAGCAATGGTGGCGACACGCGCTCACACGTGCTCCGCGTCGGTGGTATTCCAGTGAATCAACAAGTGTCGCGGATCTAGCCGTGTGCCGATGCGCCAAGCGACGACAACAGAGAGCCTGGATTCCAATAAACCGGTCAACCCGTGAGCCCGACTCTCGCCTCGCTCTCCTCACAGCCACAAAAACACTGTTCAAAGGAAACTCGTTTCTTATCGAAAATTCGATGCCGATGCAACGAGAGCTCCTACATGCTGACAAGTGGTGCCGCGTGCGTGTATGCGAGTCCTGCTATTGGTCAACACTTCGGGACACCACTTGTCGACGTTGATGCTGTGTCGCATGGCACTCTGGGAGGATTCGAGCGTGATAACATTATCGTGTAAATGATTGATATCGAAGAAATGTACCGGAAGGAGACAGATGTGTTTCTGATCGATTCGTGATACCGATAATGAATTGCGTTTTTCTTTTTTCTTTCAATTCTCCACCGACGAAGACGTTTTTGTGACAATTACGGATTAATTGATCGTATTTTTCTTCTGCCTGTATGAACGTCACTGTGCCAGTGTCGCGGACGGTTCGTTAAATACTGTGGACGTTTATTAACACTAGGTTTACGGGCACTTATCGCGTAGGTATCTCCACGGCACGCATCAACGAACCCGCAGATTTTCTTTAAAAAACAACTTATTTTATATAATACACAATTTATGATCTCTGAAATTAGTGCATAGCTATAGAGATAGGTATACCACATAGAGAATTTCGAGGTTAGAAAGCATTCGAAATGCGTCAAAATGACGCGTCCCGTAAACCCAGTGTTAATGTTCCCCTCGAAATGTATCTGGCGAATGATCGCGGCGTATGCCTTCGCGTGCGATAGAGATGCTATGATCGTTAAGACGTTGAGAAGAAAAAAAAACAAATTAATATAACTCTCCACGTAAAGCAGTATAAATGCGGTGGCTCGACTCATGTTCATAATTTTGCTCAGACTGACATATGATTCCCACGCGGTGCGTGCGAGCGCATGCTACGCATATTATCAGATTGGATGTACGGAAAAAAAGTTTTTCGTAAGGTTTCCTTCATGAATATGAGACCACACGTGCTTTGTTCGTCGGTAATTGTCGCGAAAATAGGAACGCTCGATTTCAACATAAAACTTTTTCTTTCACGATCGAAACGATGCCTAAGAGTGTACAGTGATTAACACGTTTAACAATTACTGAGAATTTTACTACATTATGTACTAAAAACTTCGGATTTTAATACTGTTCAACAGTTCAATAATTTTTTTTTTAAATAGAAACGTGCTACACTGGAAATAACTTATCATTGAACAAATTACACATTTACGTGATTAATGTTCAAGAATTAGTTAAGTACCATTAATTATTTTGATACTTTTTGACACCTTGTTCAATAATTTCACTTGATCTGTTTATAATAGAATCTAAATATATTCGTAATTTTCTATCGAAATTTCAGCCAGTTCATTGCACCTGTTATATATTTCGAAACCGAACAATGAAATCACTATCTTACATGCAATTAGAACTTGACAGAAACATTTTAAAACTTTCAAAAGTTCGACGTCGTTATAAAATATTATATAAATGTTCGCGTCATTCGATTCACGTTTGATTCGTCCGTGTCACGAGGATAGTAAATTTAAAAAACATCAACTGGAGCCAGAAGGTTTTCCTTCCAAAACAGCGGTCGATCAAATATTTAATGCTAGAACTATCGAAGATGAACGAGGTTATGTTTCTGTCACGTTAGTAAAAGGGACAACTTGTTACAAATCTGCAAATCGAACCATTAATAAACTTCATCGCAAGTATACATTGCAATCAAAGTTGCGCGGAAACTCGGAAAAATACACTGTGATATGACAGTTTAATAATTTCCATAAGAGTTTACGAACTAGTCGTGTTGACTGCTCTGGTAGTTCTGGACCAGTGATGACTAACCTATGACACGCGTTTCAGAGGTGACACGCCAAGACACTTTTAGTGACACACTTTTAGTGAAACAGGGACTTTGTTTTTAAATTTTAAATAAAACACATTTTGGATGAAAGTTCTGTATTTCTTTATTGATATATAATGTAGAAAATCTACAATTTATGAATAAAAAAGAATATCGGACAAATATCCATCACGACCACGTTTACAGATGTCGATCCTTTTGTCAAAATTTTCGATTACATTTTTGCATAATTGCGGCCCTATCTCACCAATATACGCGTCGGATGTTGGTTTTCAAGACTTCAATGGCTTGTGGATTATCTGCATAGACACGATCTTTCACATAGATCCATAAAAAATAGTCTAACGACGTTAAATCACACGATCTAGGCGGTCAATTGACTGCAGAATTACGCGAAATTATTCGATCGGAAAATTTCGTATGCAATAAATTCATTGATTCCGAAATTTTACGATATATGGTTTTCACAAATCTACCATTTTAATTATTTTTATGTGATTTTCGATTGAAATTAAAGACATTCTATAATAAATTGTAGACCTTGTACTTGACATATGTCAAAAAACAGAATGACAAAACTGTCACCACATCCAAAATTGCCTCTATTAAAAAACAAAGTCCCTGTTAAAAAGCCCTGTATTATTAAAACATAATTTAAACAACGTTTTAGGCATTCAAAGAAGGATGGTAAAGAAACGGGATATTTTAATATGTGACGCGATACCCTGCTTAAGCCAAATTTTTATCAAATTTTGTCACACGGAGCTTAAAAGGTTAGCCATCACTGATCTAGACGTTAATGTTTACTAATAGTTAGAGATGGTGTGCAAAATCACTAACAGTGATTTAACATCATTCACGACCGTGATTTTTTATCTTGAGTGAATTTGCTCACTGTGATCGTAATTTATTGATCCTTCAAAAAGAACAAGACATGTTATGTAACATGTCGATTCGAATTTACAATCATTAATTTATCCATTATTCGTTGTTATTCCTCATTGTTCCTTTATTTTGTACGATGTAACTCGCATTCTTGTTTCGATGTCGATAATATAAAACATATACCTACAGGTTATGTGTGCGTGCAAGAACAGTATTGTATTATCCACCAATCAGAAACTATCACGAAAAATCAAGAATTACTGTGAAAAATCACCGTTATTGGAAACGAACGTGATCGAATCACTCGAGATTCAGAAGTAGCAGTTCACGCTATCTCTAATACTAGTACCGGCGAATGTGTCGTATACATGTACATGTACGTACGTCGTGGCGGCGAGCGTGCCGGGGCGAAAGAGAAAAAGAGAAACGGGCGGGAAAATCGAGAGGAGAAGGACAAACGGAAGAGTGGAGCGCGTGAGGATCAAAGAGGATCGCGCGCGCGGGTCGTCCTCGTGCTGGTCGCGCGACATGGCGTGTGCTCGCCGCTTCTTTTTGCCCCGGTGACTCGCCTTGCTCCGGGCTAGGAGGGCGCGAGCGCGGAGGGGAGAGGCAGGAATAGTAGGAGAAGCAGAAGCAAGTACTAGCGGCGGTATATCGAGATCCCCATTCTCCGCGAGGCAGAGAGCATGCAGGTGTGCACGAGAAGGTCCTCTCCCGCGCCGGCACCAACGAAGGGGCCCCCCTGCGCCATTCGAGTGAGCACACACAAACACAGAGAGACGCGTGGAGGGAACCTGTGCCGGGCCCAACAGGCCCCTGATCTGTGGGAACTGTTCGGCCCGCGAGCTTCCCACGATACGCTCCGGCTGCTGGCTGGCTGGCTGGCTGTGCACGGGCTGCAGGGTTCACTCGTGCGTCTCCCCCTCCCTCCCTCCAGCCCCCTTCTTTCCGTTCCCCCCTAGCCGACACCCTACTCTCCCGTGTCGAGTCCCCGGAGTCATCGGAAGGGGCACCAAGATGGGACAGTCTGGTGGGGAGAGCATCGAAGGTATAAGTACCGGGTTAGTCCCCACCAGAACTTCAGAACCGTCGTAAACACGGTAGCAAACGCATATTCTCGGCACTCCGAGAGAACGCACCACTAGTCTTGCTCACGAGAACTCGTTACCTTAACACGCATTCGGTGCATCGAGTTTTAGACTCCTTCGAGTATATCGGATTCTCGCAGTAGTCTCGTCTCGGGATCCCTACCTCGAGCCACCTTGTGTCTAGTGAACAAGTGAGAGGGATATTATTCTGTTTATCCGCCTGAACTATGGCGCCACACACCAGTTACACACCGGTCGCCGGTATGGAGTACGAGGAGCCAGTGTCGCGGACTTATCAGTACAGAAAAGTCATGAAGCCGATGCTGGAGAGAAAAAGACGGGCGAGGATTAATCGTTGCCTGGACGAGCTGAAGGATCTGATGGTGACGGCGCTCCAGGCTGAAGGGGAGAACGTAGCGAAACTGGAGAAGGCTGACATTTTGGAGTTGACTGTTCGTCATCTTCACACGCTCCGAGCTGCCAGAAGACTTACGCTCACCCCGGAAAACAGTTACGCGGACAGATTCCGAGAAGGATTTACCCAGTGCGCACAGGAAGTCTCTTCGTTTCTGTCGACACCTGTGGCCGCCACTGTTCACCCAGCTGCTGGTGCGCAGTTAATGAGACACCTTGGCGGTTGTCTTCGACGGCTAGAAGGACCTGCCTCGAATTCTGCCGGAACCACCAACACCGCCTCCACCGCTGTCAACCCAGTCAGCAAAGCTCCAGTCGCCAGTCCAACGACCAACGTCATGGTCAACGTACCACAGAACGTTTACACACCGCCGCAGAGTCCTGTCAGCGTGACGAGCTCCTCTGGTGACTCGACGGAATCGTCCAACGCCATGTGGAGACCTTGGTGATCGATAGGATTCGATGAAATTCAATAATTCTCCGCTTCGAATACACTGTTCCTTCCTGGTGAAGAAGATTTCCTCGTTGACGCAAGGACGGAGACTGCGTATAGGAGGGAAAACGACGAATCATTGTCTTCCATGTATTGAAATTGTTGAGCCTCGTGATTTGCCGAGGTGTCAATTTGCCTTTAAAGAGACACATTTTGTAAGCTATGTTATATGGCACCGTCGAAGTTTCTCTGTTTCTTTCTACTCCATTGTATATAGGTGATAAAGCTTTAAGTGACGTCTGTGATAGGGTTCAATTTTGTACCTGAGATAATTATTTTCACGTAAAGTAGAACAATTATTATTATATAAATTTTAATTTGTTATGTTTAAGAATCATTTTTAAATACTACGTACGTAACACGATATCACGTGTTCATTTTTTTTTTTGTTAAAACCAATTGCACGATGCGCGAATCTGAATAAACAGATTGTTTTAAGCATATTCATTGAACTGTTATTTAATCGTCCCTTGTACCTAATCTAACCTCCTGTTTCCTTATCGTTTAAATTATCACTAAACGGTATTGTATTTTCACATCCTACATCAGAAATTAATATTCGTATTTTTAGTAAATAAAAATGTCATTCAGTAATCATATTCTCGAATATTCTTATGACAGTACACACTTATTTTTAATGTATTGCGACTAATTAGTGTCATCCTCTTCCAATTGTTTTAGTAAACAGGTCATAGTAAAATCACAAATGTTATTTTTAATGTAATATTAAATCGCTGACATAAGACTTTTTAACATTACAAAACGTCGAATAGCACGTGTTTCTCGATTCAAACTGAGATAGTGATTTTAAATATTATAGTCTCGGCACATGCAACTACTTTTTCATCAATCTACGAACTTCGATTAAATCAGTATTGATGAAAAATAACATTTTTACGATAACCTCCACTAGCCGAAATTTCTATAAAGTCATCTTTATTTTCATAAATATTTTCAAATGCCACCACTTTTATTGCTCCATCGTATCTGTTTTTACATTTGTTGACATTTAGACACATGGAATGTGCTCTCTGTTCCGCTATGTTTACATTCTGCGTCTGTTTTGATTCCTTTCTCCGTGAGGCACAATACAAGTACGAAGTTTCAATAAAGTCACTTAGTTTCTGTCTGCATTCGAAGCGGATAACTACAATAAACTGGGAATATTCTAAAGGTATGAGTATTAGAATTCATAGAAATCGTGTATTTAATGTAATTTGATTCATCTGTATTATAGTGCCGAGAGGCATATCATATAAGAGCATAAATTAAATTAAATTTCAATAATTTAAATAGAGACAGATTATATTTCATTAACCCTTTCATTCAAAACTTAAACAAAAATTATTATTAAATTAATTTAAATTTTATATGATTTTTAAATGATTTATAAGCATCGATTGATGCTTATAAAGATATGGGCTGCTCTAATCGCACAATTGCAAAAGAAAATTAATCGATCATATACGGTGATAAATAATTACGTGTATTTATGCGAAAATGACGGTAAGAACCATTTTAAAATTAAAAAAATTAAATAAAAGTTTAAATTTTGTCAACGAGACAATGTTCATTACTAATGAGGTTTGCGAGTAAGGAAACAAAAAATGTAACACAACTTCGTGCTGAATTGGAGCTCCCAATAACAACTAGAGAGACGTGTGCAACAAATTTTAAATACTTGTGAAAGGTATCGTTGGAAAAAAATGCTACGTAAACCTTAAAAAAGAACACACACAAGTCCGTCTCGATTTCGCACGAGCCAATGAAGGAATGGAAATCTGTCATCTTTTTAGACGCGAACAAATTTAATTTGGATGGGTCAGATGATGGTAAATATTATTGGCACAATCTGGAAAATGAAAAAAAAACGTGGTAATGAGTCATAATTTTGGCAGTGGTTCCCTAATGATTTAGGCTGCGTTTAAAGTTGACAGAAAAACTCCAATTTGTTACATAAGTCATAAAGTGAATTCGGAAAAATATACAGAATTGTTAGAAATGATATTAATACCATTTATAGAAAATATTGAGGAGGACAATTTTATTTATCAGCATGATAAGGCTGCAGTGATTTTTTAAAGAAAATATGCTTGTTCTCCCGATATGCACTCTATTGATATTCTTTTGGGTATCATTGCATGAAAAGTTTATAAGAATTGCAAACAATACAACTTCATTATTGAATTTAGGAATAAAATTTAGTTTCGTTAATGCCAAACCGTATTATTAATATCATTGATAAAAATGGAGGTTACACTAAGTATTAATATAGAAATAGTGAAAAACAATTGTTAATTTCAAATTTACTTATGTAAAAAGCAAATGACTTTATAGAAATTTCGCAGTTTGTTTTTATATTTTTTTTTTTAAAGTAATATATTTATTTTTTGAAATCGATGTGTACGCTTTCTTTAATTAATCCCAATATGCTACCAAACATAAATTTTTCATTAGTATGGAGTAGTTACAAGAATTCATTAAAAAAGTAAAAAACATGGTGACTTTATAGAAATTTGAAGCACTGTATTTTCTATTCTACAGATCAGTTATATTTGTCTTTCACATTCACGAATCCATCAGATGTCCTCGGGCGATCTGCATGAACGTTTTCCAAGTCCTTGAATAAGTCGTTTTGTAACCTCGAATACAAATAACAAGGGAGCAGTCTTATCTGCAAAATACGGGGTGTATCGTCTCAAACATGTTCTTTGAGAATTCTTGTGGTTGACGTATTGAACATAATAATTATTAAATGCCTGCAATTTTTCTGGAATTTCTTTTAAATTTTGTTGAGTGAGTTGACAATGCACGAGAAAACGCCGATTACCCAAAATATCATACCAGGGAAACAACTTTTTAAATAATCATTCGGGAATAGGTGCAAATCTAATATGAGCAAAACTAAATATGACCAGAATATTCAATACAATCGAACGTTTTCTAGTAAACTTCTGTGTTTCTGCACTTTTAGTTTCAGTATTGGTAGCACTTGCGTGTGTACATGTGATTTATTGTTTAAAATTATAAATATTTGAATTTATTTGATAAATAATTGCTTCTCGGATAATAAGTGCTTCTTATTGTATAATTAATATTTTTGTTAATTAAAGTTGGGCTATATGTATTTGTATTTATAAAAAATTCATTCTAATTACAAATTTTTTTATGGTTACTGTTACACAGGTCTTAAGAAATAACTATCACATGCTGTATTTTTCTTGCCAGGTGGCAGGTATACGTGCCTATACTATTTTTTAACCATTCTGATACATGCATATTTTTCACAGCATGTAATTGAAAGAGACAAGAGAAAGGTTCTGCAATGATTGTATCAGTTCTTATTATTGCATTTCATTGTAATGTATTTTAAACTATTAGGCACGACCAGGGTAGGTATATTTATGTGTATCGGTTATTCAACTGAAATGCAGTAATAAAACTGGAGTAGGTACATAAGTCTTAAACCTAAACAAACATTTTTGTTAATTAAACGGTTCGTTATTTTCAGGTTGTTGTATTTCTGAGCTATAAGTGAGATAAAAAATGTTATTTTCAGCGTTATAATAATTTAATTTACAGATAATTAAAAATTTGTGGGAGGGGACTATTGCAATTAGTTAAATCCGTGAAACTTACACTGCGTATTTTATGCATTTATAAGATTATGTATGTAAAGTACAGTATAAGATAAAACTGCCATCAGATTTAATCATTTTTGTTTTTCATTTTTAACGTGAAGTTTAAAAAAAAAAGAGAAATTTCTATTTTTACTATACCTTTACTAATTATTTTACAAAATGTCGATGTACATACTAGCCCACGGCTTAATAACCACGGCAGTCGGGTAATCACGAACACGGAGGGTTCTGTTTTTTGACCAAACAATTGATTTTTATTATAATTTTTCCAAAATTGAATATTGTAGTTTGTAGATGAATAGTTTAAGTATTATATTATTATAAGTAACAAACAAATTCATTTCTCACTCAGCTTTCGTTCTGTCTGTTTTTTTTTTGCTCAGGTGTTCGTAATTACCCGACTCTCCCCTATGCTCATATGACACTTTCAACTTACGAGGTACTATCCAGAAGTGACAGCTGTTAATTTTGATAAAATTTGACATTAGTTTGTAGGTGATAAAATATTGAAAAATCTTTGATACATACTTTTCTATCAGTAATTATTCATGCTAGAGTAATGAAAACGGCTCTTAAAATACGACGTGCAAAAACTGATCAGATATCCCTGGAACTGAAGCCACACGAAAAATGTGAAGTGCAAAATTGTGTACCTTAAATGAGGAGGTCGCTTACATAAACAGTTTTTAGAAAAATCCTTTTTCTTTAAACATGTATTAAAACTTAATACACTTTTGTCATATTTCTAGCAATATGTTCGTCCAGTTTTACGTAATTTTGTACATATGTACGGCATAGTAACTCCGATATTTCGCATTATAAAAAATGTGTCAACACAGTACGATATTGATCTGACGTCGATGCTGTAGGTACCTGTACCCTGGCGAGCAAACTCGGCTTCCGCCAGGGGCAAAAGTTACGTAAGAGAAGGGCCTCCTATTAGGGATGAATCGGTACAAGTAAATACGAGTACATTACTCCATACTTTTGTTTCGATACCGAGTATTTTTGTTATCGATACGTACGGTTGTGATACCAAGTAGGTATCGAAATACTCGTATAGAATGGAGTGAGTATCGACCTATCAATATTTGATATTGTAATTACTTTCAACACAAAACAATGTTGTTTATATTAATAATTAAGCAATGTGTATTTACATATTTTCAATATTAACGTAATATAGGTGTATATATGAGTAGGTATGAGCTTCAAAAAATGGTATTTGTTTCTTGCAGCATCTCCATCTACCATCTATGTTATGTTTGACATAACCTTGTTCAATATGCATGCTACCTCCCCAATGAAATATTTTACTACTTAAATTTAGAACATTTAATTCACTTGTGATATCAAAGACTGCGTTTTCCGTTTCAGGTTCTATTAAATATTTCATTTAATTTTATCATTAATAAATAAATTATTTATGTTAGTGATGAATCTTGATTTATTCCTTTGTTTTTACAAAAATGAGGGGCTTTCCCATTGTTCTAAGTACAACATCATTGTCTTGTTATATATTCTATATTTATTGAGTTTATTTTTGCAATATACTTAGAAAGATGGATTGGTTTGGTTTGTCTAGATATTTTTGGGGCCGCCTTGCGTCGCAGATCTTATGCCCCAAGTTGAATATTTTCAGAATATCTCTGAAACTAAGTATGCTTGCACAGATAATATCTGATAATTAATACCTACATATACATATTTATTTATTATGTATATCATATATTACGTATATTGTATATAGTTTATACATATGTGTGTTTATATGTTTTATATTAAATATTTAAATAAATATATAAAGTACAGTATTATATTTTATTTTCTCTTAAGATATAAACAACTTTTGTGTTGGATATCAAGGTTAGGAAAATATAATTCGATACAAGTAGGTATCGATACCTTTGTTTTGATACCGAGTGAGTATCGATACCTTCATACAATACTAGCAATGAGTAAAAGTATCGATTCCTTGGCGGTATCGATTCAACCCTACCTCCTACCACTTGGTAAATTTATTTCAGGTATTGAAACAAATGGAATGTTAATTTGGCATAAATTCATACTTTTCCTACGCCACTGTTTCCCCTAGTGGAAGCCGAGTTTGCATGTCAGTGTACATGGCAAATAAAAGGAGGAATTTACTAACAATAAGACTGTGATCACAGAGGCACCGACACCGGTCGTCAGATTGTTTTCGTCAGACGTTGACCGATTTAATTGCTCACTGAGACCACGCAGTGCTTCCCAATACATTTAATTAAGGGCGAATCATTCGATATCGGTGCCACTGTGACCACAGCCTGAAACGTGTTCTAATGTTTGAATATTTTCATTACGCACTCCAGATCTATAGAATTAACAGTTTATTAAAAAATTCTGAAATGAGAGATTATTTTCCGATTAAATCATGAAACGAATCGTTATCCTATATCCAGATTGATCATTCTCTATTCATCAATTCAAAACCACAAGGTCACAAGTCGTATATAGATGTTTTGCTCAGCAATATGAAAAAAATCGTGACGCATGATATTAACAGCAACGAACTTGCGAACGCTCGCCGATGCTTCACTCGTTAACGATTGCCGGTCGAGTGATCCGGTTGAAACGTTGTCACACTTTTTTATTCGCTTTTCCCCGTAACAACTCGAATATTTCTCCGGTTTTACGTAATTGGACCATGTCGGTGCGTGACACGGAAGTCAGTAACGCTTTTTTTTTTATTTTTATTACGGGTCCCGCTTTTGATCGATCGATAATAAGAATCGGTGAATATTCCGATCGTATCGAGACTATTAAAGTGGAAGAGATATTTTAATTGACCAGTTTACGCGTTGTCTGTCTTAATACCCGAATTTCTTTATACCCGGAGATCGAACCCAGTCATCGCTGTGTTTCACCTGAATCGATTCGACCGCAGGTATCTCCATTATAAACTCGGTGATCGACGCTTCCAGATTTTTCAGTAATTCTCCGTGCGCTTGCAACATTTCAATCGAGCTTTTATATCACGTACGTCTTTCAAAATTTATGGAATGATACATTAAGATGTTATAAATAAACTGTGGATGTTCGTGCAGATGTAGATTTTTGTGAACGAAATTACAGGAATTCGTTTATTCTGCCGATGATTCTATAATCTTCTAAACAATATACAATACCTGAAGAATGATTAATCTTCTTTTATGTGCTCAGTTTTAGAAAAGTATGTATACGTATTATTAGGTCTGTGCAAAAGTTTTAATAGATTTTCTGCTGATGATGCTATCGCCAAGGTTTTCTGGAAGCAATAAACAATTATTTTAATATATTCCGTGTCGATATCAATGTAGAACAGTGTATTGTTTTAAAGAACAAAAAATTGCCGCGATTTAGTGTATCTTATTGTTTACAATAAAATTGAAATTCAACTCCTTTTTTTTCGATTATTCTCTTCATCGTTGATACACTTTGTGTCTACCAAAAATTGGATGCAATTTGTGAATCGTGGCAGTCAAACTTTCATCATTTTTGAAATAATGTTTAACAATAAGAATGCGTTGTTGTGTCGAATAGCGATCCATTTTTAATAATGGCGAACTGTCTACCATCAACCTGTCATAATGGTTTAACTGTCAATGCACAGCAGCAGAAATGGCGCCATATTTAAAATTTCCGCTCTTGTTGGGACACCCTTTATGTTTAAATGGCAAAAAGATTTAATTGAATGAAATTGACTTAATAATTTGAAATAATGTATAAATACGTAACAGGAGTAGTAAATGTTAGGCGACGTTGTTTAATTAAAAAAGACTATGTGTATCTCACCAGTATTATTTAAGTTATTCGTGAATATAAAATAGGTGATACTAATTTGTATAATTCGAGGATATATATTCTCCTTATAAATAGAGAACTTATCCATTATCGATATTCTACATTTATTAATACATCGCTGAAGCTTCTATAATAAAAAATGTGACATTCAATCATTTTGGTAAATCAGATTCACGTAATACGTATTACCTATGGCGATATAATTATTATCTCTTTTCTTAATTACTCTTTACTCACATTTTAATTATCTTTGAATTATTTGAATTATGTTTTGTTTACAACTGGTATAATATATTATTACTGTAATTTAGTCCTCCTGCGTCTATTGTGTTCTCAAATTGTTACCGAAAGATCTACAAGATTTCTCAAAATACTTATCGTAATAAACCGTTACAGGAAAAATTATAAAAAATCTAGACAATTGCTCAGCATTATAATAAAATTTCGATCCATGCTTGTTATTTGCAATAATAAAGTCGTTATTTAAAAATGACACACAGACAGTATTTAATCAGTCGAGTGACATACTTACCTATGAAATGTTTTTTCTTTGTTACAGATATTCGTAATTCCGTCCATAGAATGCTGACAGCTGCCGTTTACATAATTTGAATATAGGTACGTATCAAAATTTCGCTAGAAAATTCGCTTAATCAAACTGACAGCGGGATCGTGAAAGCCTTCAACGGATATAAAATATTATAAACGATCGTTCCACGCGATTCACACGGAAGATAAACTTTCTCTGGTGGATGTGGCTCATTAACGGCCAGCGTATAAACGTGGCTGATGTATCGGTAACTGTTTTTACGGGCTGGCATCGGTTAAAAAATACTTCAACGATGTCTGTCCACATGCATGAAAGCAGCTTGTTTATTACAACGCGCATTATCGTGTAACAATCATAGCCCTAGTAGCATTTATGGTAAGTCAACGATATCCAACAGTTGGAAGTTAGTTGGAATATAGTTAGTGTTTTTGTTACAAATTCCCAAAATAGGGCCTAGGACGAAAAAGTTATGACAATTTGCCAACAAATATCCAATGTTTGGCCTACAATTATTATAGTTGGTTAGTTAATAAGAAATTTACAATGATAATACAACATTGGCCCACCCACAGTGTGCCAACATTTAAATATCGTCTTAGAGACGTCAGAAACGTTGCCACAACCAAAAACTTGTTATTATATTTCAAATTGATTGTTTTGTTTTCTTATTTATGAATATACTCACAATTTGTTACTGTCGCGCCACACGTTTGACATTTGACATTTTGTGAAAATAGAGACAGGGGATAGAAGATTGGAAAGAACTTGTAATAATTATTTGTAATAATTAGCTATATGTATAAATTGTACATAATAAATTGTAAAGGTAACTTTGCTGGTAAAACACTTGTTTACCTATTTAATATACATATACAATTTATACATGTATATACTTATTATAACAAGTAATTATTATAAATATTATTTCCAGTGTTATACTCCTTCAAATATTTGTAAAGGATTTTATGGAAGTGTAGTATAGCCAACTGTCTTCCTACAGTTGGTTTATTGTAGATACTCAACAATTGGCTGTACGGATTGAAACCTCCAGTTGGCCATTTGTAGTATAGTGACGTGGGCCCTACGTTGAGTACGATTGTTGGTGCAGTTGCAAAAAAGGGTAACAATTTGCTTGACCAACCAATAGTTCATCAAAGGCCCATCAAAATGCCAACAATAATTGCTATTAGGAAGGCTAATGCATTCACGCTGTTTTATGTGATAGGAATTTAACAGCACAATCTTATTATTAGTTGTTGTTAGCTAGTACCTATCTCCCTAGTAGCATTTTGTTTTTATTTGAGCACAAAAGAACTCTCAATGAGAGTTATATGGCTTTATATGGGTTTTAATATACATAGATTGTTAGATTACATATGTAGGTACGATATTTAGAGATACATGTGAATTTCGATGAAGTAAAATGTTGCATGTTTATATTTGTAGATTACATTTTCTTAAAAAATGATGTACATGTGAAAACCCTACAATGTTTGGCTGACTGAGTAGTGACCTTGTATTTTGTGGAAGAAACAGTTGGCATTTTTTGTTTTTTTAATTAGTTTCAATCTTTGAACAATGCTTTATTTTTCGTAGCTGCAGTTGCACTTAGCTTCATTTACAATGCCTACGCGTAACAGTGAAGCTGCGAGATTATAATGATCAGATCTACACGATTAATGGTTACAATAATTTCACGTATATGGCCTGTATTTGCGAATCAAGGCTTGCTGTTGTTTTTATAATGAAATTGGAAATACTCTTTGCCTTTTGTTCGACTTTGTTCTAAAATGAATTTTTTGGTGTTTGAATCGCATTTATGCTTCACTGATTCCCGAAAGTCAGTAAAGGGAATAGACACAGAGTTATCTGCTTGTGGTGCAGTTGCTGCTTTTGCTAAAGAGTCAACGTTTTCGTTACCCTGTATGCCTATATGTGATGATATCCGGAACAGTTCTATATTGCTGCCGTTTGTAGATTTTTGCATGAGATAATTATATTTCCTTTTTATTTCCAAAATATAAAAATTAGTTCTTATATCTATTCCCTAGTAGAATTTATGGTTGGTCAACGGTATCCACCAGTTGGGAGTTAGTTGGGATATAGTTAGTGTTTTTGCCTACAAATTCCCAAAATAGGGCCTACGACAAAAAAGTTATGACAATTTGCCAACGAATATCCAATGTTGGGTGTACAATTATTATAGTTGGTTAATTAACAAGAAATTTACAACGATAATACAACATTGGCCTACCATTGTAATTTTAATGGCTTTTTATGGTCTATAAATCTCTGCAATGAAATCTTTACAAATTTTAAACATTTAAACAATTATGAAAACATTTTATACGTCATTTTCAATTTATCTTTTCACATAAAGTCACCTAATTTCAGACCACAATGTCATTTCGGTTATACTCTGCACTGTGGTCATTTGGAAAATACTTTACATGTTTATGGAAAGTATACGCAAAACCAGTAACTTGAACCACCTGGAATATCACCGTTATTTTTAGAAATAGGTCATTTCACACTAACTTTGAAACTCGATATCTGGGATTTAGCTCAAATGAGAATATTGGTTATAGTCCATGTGATAATAGGGGAATTTAAGTCATTACCTCGCTGCTTTCGAAATTATTTAAAAAATGAAGACAAGAAGGTGGTGATTTTCACCGATTTTTACGAGAACTACCTTTACAAAAGAAGTTTTATCTCCGCTGTTATTAAAGGTACCAATTTGATTGTCCCTTCATTCACTTCAGTCCGTTCTTTTTAACTAAATTTTTGTTTTGCAAATTTGCTCTTCGGTTCAAATCTAAACAAATTTGAAAAAAATATGTTCATATCCTGTGGTCTTTCCTTTTTAAAATGCATTTTTTTAATTCGTGGACACTTTAAATTTGTGGCCGGAGAAAGCCAACAAAGATCGCGGCATCCGATGATGTAGGTAAATCTCTGGACGTCCAGTTCTTTCCTACATGACCAATCGTATCTATATCAAATTTTTTTAAAAATCGCGTCTTAAATAAGGAATCAACCCACGTAAATAATTTTTTAATAATCATTTGTTTAAATAACTTATTAAATATCTGATTTTATTCCTTTTACTTTCCTTGTTAAATCTGAGAAGCGTATAAAATTGTTAAATAATTGAACCCAAGGTTTTTCGTGGTGTGAAATACGTGATAGCTCTAAATAGAACTCATGTTATTGTATAAACGTGTATAAAATAAATAATGTTATTTAAAATGTTAATTTTAATTTTATAATGTTATAAAATAAAAATTCGTCTAAATCATTCCATATAATTTGTACAATAATGAAACTATAAAACTTATATGAAACATAATGCAACAAGCGTATTCATATAAATGGGAAAGAAATCAAATTAGCAAAAGACATTACAGACTTTATTGACAACTACTGTAACGAGGCAGGATATACATACATATGTAGATATCGAAGTGCAGTAGAAGTTGAGTGAAAAATTGAGTGTTAATATTAACAAAGTGTTAGAATGTGTGTTATTCGCTATCAAAATACTTTATTTCTGCCTACAGAATATTTGGTTTTTACGAGTATAAAATGGCAGTAGCCTGAAGAATAGAAAGGATGCCGCTAATATGGAACAGTAGGGTCCGGTATGTGAGGACACTGCAGTTAACGTACATAATTACTTATATTAAAATAAATGTTAAGTAAATATTATTACTAAAAACAAACATTTTTAATAACAATATATACAATCCTGGGGGCGGATAATATTATTAGTAGTAGCAGCAATTGCGTCATGTCATCTCCCCATTTATTTAAACACGATTTACCTGCAAAAAGTCTTTACAGTTTTTCGATGTAGGGTCTTTGGACATTAATGTAGCATAGACGATTTTTTAAACAACTTTGCACATTTCACGAAATCAACAAAAATGTTAACATTTTTTGAAATGTAAAATTTTCAAAACTATTGTTGAACTCGAATTTTCAGAATCGTTTAAACTTCAGCGATTCTACTAGTGTATGAAAAAGTATGGCATGACATTTAAAGAAAGATAGAAGTCACCTTAAAATCTTCGGAAATACTCCACCCACAAAAAATGAGTAATTGCATGTTATGGTCACGACATGCAACTTTTATAAATAAAGTTTTTTCATATCTATAAAGATAAGTCCAAGTTATTGGTCCACCTTGTGTACAGTATGTAATCGAAAGTAACAAAATTTTCATGTCGTACAGTTTTCATTTGATTCAAAAACATGCAATCCATCAGTAACGATGATAAAACTTTTTTAATTAGATTCCATCGGGTGTCCAAACCCTTATTGACAATAGTGTGCACAACTGTGAACATTGAATACTAAATTATTAATATAGTTATTTTTGCGAGGAACTTCATATTCTGCGTTGTTTATGCAATTGTTTATAGTGTTTCTTCACAGGAATACTACAGATATTACGTTAGTATTGTATATTGCATACCATATCGTAATCATAATACCGCATTTGCAAAATGCCTAGTTGTTGACAGGCAAACATTATAAATCACTGCTAATCCATGCTTTAAGATAAGACATAACAAAACACTTACAATATAACATGTGTATTTCTAATTCTTCATAAGATGTTATATGTACGTTGTACAAAGTCAATACTGTTCATATTGTATTAATTTTCCATACTATTAATTTATGTATCAATCTTATAATGTAATTTATCATTAATACTTTCTTTTCCATTTAAATTATTACGTAATTATATTATGTCGTAACGAAAACTAATTAGGTGTCACGTAAAATGAAACTCTCGGGTAATAACTTGTGCTGGAACTAAAACGGTTAACAATAATGAAAAACAAACCAGAAGTTGTCGTATTTCCCGCGATAGATCGACCATTTTTGACAACCCAAGTGACATTTGCAGGTCGAATGGACCGTGACAATGTCGCGAGCTGATAAAAGTGAGAAAATAAAGGTTAATTAATAAGCATAATTCACATAAAAATCATATGCATTTTGCGGCAGATGTTACAGATTGTTCGGGATGGACGTAATCGCCTACAATCACCACGAGATCGCGAGCATCGGAAATAGCATCGATGGAGGTGACGTCGAGGACCAGTACGAGGACGAAGTGGAAGGTATACTGCCTTACATCGATATCGATCGAAATCTTCTAACGATCGACCAGCTGACCACTGCCGGTAACGATAAGATGCCCTTCAGGAGAAGCCTCTTCCCAAACGTGGCGCCGTACATCGTTTTCCAGTCGTTCGACTACAAGGGACCAACAACGCCTTACGAAGTAACCAGACACCTGAGGTGGCGTTTGAGTACGATTACCCCGTTAATAGTACGTCGTACCTTGGTAAACTCGGGTTTTAGACTGACGAAGAAATCCCAGAAATGGTGCGGTACGTGGGGCAAGCACATGAAGTCCGCCTGCTTCAAGACCCTGAAGGATTCGCAGAAAATCAACCACTTCCCAGGAACATTTCAGATCGGCCGAAAGGACCGTCTCTGGCGTAATCTTAGCTGGATGATGATGAAACACGGGATCAGAGAATTCGGTTTCGTTCCGAGGACCTTCGTTCTACCTCAGGATATGAATTGCTTCCGGCAAGTGTGGAAGAAGCTAGGTGGCCACAAGGAAAAGTGGATCGTGAAACCGCCAGCCTCTGCTAGGGGGACCGGGATCAAAGTGGTCCATCGTTGGTCCCAAATACCAAAGAAACGCGCTGTGGTCGTCCAGCAGTATTTATCCAGACCAAAACTGATCAGCGGCGCGAAGTTTGATTTGCGTCTGTACGTTCTCGTCACGAGCTTCAATCCGTTGAGGATATACCTTTATCCGGATGGTCTGGTGCGATTCGCCTCCGTCAAGTACAATGACGATATAAACTACCTCAGCGACCGCTTTATGCACTTGACCAATTACAGTATCAATAAGACCAGCGCTACTTACACCAGCAACGATTCCGCCGATTCTTGTTCAGGGCACAAGTGGACGCTCAGAACGCTCTGGTCGTATCTCGAGAAGGAGCACGTGAACGTTACCAAACTGTGGGAGTCTATGAAAGACATTGTGGTCAAGACTATGATAGCGGTCGAGTCACCAATCACCACTCTAACGAGGACCAACACAACCTCGCGATATTGTTGTTACGAGCTATTCGGGTTCGATATACTTTTAGACGAGAACCTGACACCATGGTTATTGGAGGTGAACATCTCTCCCTCGTTGCAATCCTCCTCGCCCCTCGACATGGCTGTGAAAGGCCCGTTAATTAAGAACGTCTTTAATATAGTTGGGTATCAACTGCCAAGTAGCTTATCAACGGAAGACGAAGAGAAGATAGCACAAAAATATCAATTGGACGTCGTGTGTCAGGACCAGAGGCTACATAGGTCCACTATTAGTTATCAAGAACGGCATAAGCAATCCATGTACACGAATTTAAGGAATAGGGATGATTATATTGACGATATATTAGAAGTTCTTACTCCGGATGATGTTAGACATTTAATAGCGTATGAAGATGAACTGACGCAGTTAGGCAAGTTCGAGAAAATATTCCCTACTGCTGATAGCCACGAGTACCTGCAGTATTTCGACGTTCCCAGGTATTATAATATGTTGTTCGATGCGTGGGAAACGAAGTACAGCGACAATCGGGAAAAGGGAATATCGAAATTACAGAAACTCTGCGAAACGAAATATCATTTGGCGCAGCAAGTGAACTGCTAGGTGACCTGAGCTAGGGACATAAATTCGTTCTGTTGACGTCTTCCACGTCGACGTTGATACCGTCAAAAAACGTGTGAATCATTTTCTTTTTATATACGCTATACACCACCTTGTTATATGTGAGTTACTATAGTACCGACGTACCATGTCACGATACGACCGCATCATGTGCCTTTTTCACGGTTGTGCAAATTTATTTTGATGTATTAAATCTCTATCTTAATAAATCATTTTACAATGAAAAGATGCATCGATATATATATATATTTTTTTTTTCATTGATTTTTAATTCGAGAAAGGTAACTCTATTTCACGTAAGAATGTGTATAGACAGCACGCAAAAAATTACCAGGTTTGTATAATTTTCGACATTTTAGAGACGTGTATTGTGTAAAGGATGAAATGCATATCAGTTTCGTTCACATCTTTTCAAACATAATAGTGCTGAAAATACATTAATAAATCAATTTTAAGAAGTAAGATAGAACATGTAAGTAAGGATAATACTGCTTTCCGAATTAGAGAAAAATCAATATAAGATATAACAGATTTACTGTACATCGTTACTATAAAAAGCAATAAGTCCTATTGTTACTGTTAACATTCTTATAAATTATAGAAATTACAATTTTTAAGATGTAAAGTACTTTTAATTAAATCATGTTGAAAGTGCAGATGATTTTTCTACATTCCAAACTAAAGTGATCCATTTATTTTTTTGAAGTTGTAATTGCAAATGTGTAATCCTTGGTTTCTATAATATTAGCGGTTTATACAATTTTAGTGGGCATACGAATGTCGATCAACGTTGCTCATAAATAACAATATACTTGTATGCAGTTTTCACTGTTCCTATAATGTAAGTGAAGTATATTATAACCTTTTTTTTTTTCTTGTGTGATGCGAAAAATGGGTCCACCGACATCAAACGAACATAATAATTATACTCCAAAAGCAAGTCGAATATAATTTTATTAGAATATAATCCCACTACGATTAATTTTAGTAGGTACCTTATTTTATGTAAAAATCAGCAATCATTTGAACCTGTATTTATATAAATTTTTGATAGTTTAATCGATAAGAAAAAAATAAGTAATTCAGTAGTATATTGACTTATTTGCTGATGATTACACGTAAATTATAATTTTCACCTGTTTGTATCCATTTAATATTAATTTTATTCGTAAATTTAAGAAAAGATACTAAAATACAAAACTCCCTAGACGTCCTTTCCAGAAATGCTGTTTCAATAGACGTTCATATTTCGAACACGAGATTCAAATATACATTAATTAATAAACTATACAGACAACTTCCGAGAGTATACCGTCGAACAAGAAACGCAAGTTTCAGTACACTTTTAATCTTCACCCTTCCCCCAACCAGTCAACCTAACCTGTCAAAAATTTTCGGCCAACCTTTTAAAATTTCCAGTAATGATTTCATAACATAATACATAAAACACCGATCAGCATCAAGCATCGGAAATAACGAAAAAAGTCGTCAATTATAAACATGAAAATTCAATCGAAGTCGAACGTTGAAACGGGTACCAGCTTCGGTCAGCTGACATGGCGTGATTGTTTCGAAGACGATGAAATGTATACGTATATCGAGATCACCGAATGCCTGATAGCAGCCCGACCAAAGCCACGGATTACACCTGCCCCATCCGATTCGTTCGTACCCAGTCCTGCTAACAAAACCCTAACCTTACCAATGCGTAGAAGTCTTTTCTCGCATGTGCCGCCGTTCATCATCTTCCAAGACAGCGCAAGCACCGCGAAACTACCATCGGTGATCACCAAGCATCTGCTCTGGTGGCGTGAAAAAAAGTATTCCCCGCGTATCATATATTCGATGGTGACGAAATCAGGATTTAGAACGACCACAAAACGCACCTCCGCTTGGTGCGGGACCTGGTGCACCAGCAAGCTGGTCTACTCTCAGCTGAAACGCACCAGGATGTTTTCTAAGGTGAATCTTTTTCCCAGCAGCTTCCACTTCGGCGATAAAATATTGCTCTGCAAGAACTTTCGTAGAATGAGAAGGAAACACGGCAGCAGGAACTTTGACTTTATGCCGTTGACGTTCATTCTGCCGGAAGAAAGAGACAGTCTGAGGCGATACATGCAGAAAAATGGGGGTATATGGATCCTAAAGCCGCCATGTTCGTGCGCTGGATGTGGCATCAAGATAGTCTCTCGTTTGTACGAGATCCCCAATGACCGTTCCTTGATCGCGCAGCGTTATATCAGCAAGCCTCGGCTGATCGATGGCATTAAGTTCGACATAAGACTGTACGTGCTGTTGACTAGCATCGATCCCCTCAGGATCTACGTTTACAACGACGGCCTGGTGAGGCTAGCGACCATCAAATACGTGAACCACGCGAGCACTTTGTCCAACAGATTCATGCACCTCACGAACACCAGCGTGAACAAACACAGCCCTAACTTCGAAGTGAACGACGATCCAGGTAAACGCAAAGGTAACATGTGGTCATTGAGCTGTCTATGGAAGTATTTCTCCACGCTCGAGGATGTCGATCCCAGCGATATCTGGTTGAAGATCAAGGACATCGCCATTAAAACGATCATCTCGGCCGAATCGTTTCTCGTGAAAGCCTGGAAGAAGAACTCGATGTCGTCGTATAATTGTTACCAGCTGTTCGGCTTCGATATTCTCCTGGACAAAGGGTACCAGCCTTGGCTACTCGAAGTGAACACTTTCCCGTCCATGAATCCTGACACGCCGCTCTGTGGGATAGTAAAAGGCCAGTTGACTAAGGATTACTTGAACCTCGTCGGCTTTCACGTGCCGAATGTATTGACCGGCAAGGAATTAAAGATCTTGAGAACTAGCTACAAGGAGGACACCGTGTGCTACAATCACCATCTGTACTCGAGCGCGCTCACGTGGGCGGACAGACAGAAACAATATGCTTTCTCGAGGGTAACCAATCGGGGAGAGTATCTGAAGACGATACTTAGGAACCTCACGCCGGGCGACGTGAGAGTACTGATACGGCACGAGGACGAAATCACGCAGACTGGCCGATTTGAGAAGATTTTTCCCACGTACGACACCTTCAAGTACCTCGGGCTCTTCGACGAGACCAGGTATTACAATATGCTATTGGACGCATGGGAAAACGAGTATGCAAAGAATCGATCGGTAGGGATCGAAAGGCTGAGGAAGCTTTGTAGAAGGAAATATCATTTGACTTAATGAACCTGACGGATTCTGAGAAAAATATTAAGGAGCGTACAGCACCTTGTTGGACTAGAAAAATGGGTAACTTTAAACATTTTGTTACGTTTAACTTATTTTAGCTTTATTTGCACGCATTAGTTATTTTTTCAATTTACAAGATTGTGCGGACATCAGGGCCGTTCCTGGATTGTTGGTCGCCCAGGCGTAAAAAACAGTATCGCCGTCCTTATTAATTTAATATTATTCAATTACGAATTTGATATGCAGTGTTTACTTTTATATACAGTGTGTTCTACGAACACTGTACACCTGGAATATCTTCGTTATTTTAAACAATACGCGAAAATGTTACTAACAAAAGTTGTAGGATTTAATGCAATATATAACATAATAATAATGATTTCCTGACAGATGGATACGTAGAGGAGCTATAGAGATCAAATTTGTTTTATTAAATGGAATGCCGGACCTTTTATGTTCGATTTCGGTAGAATAACGAATTCTGAGTTTTTGAGATATTTGACTTTGCACATGATCAACTCTTCGAACATATTTCACAACGAAATTAATAGGATGAACAAAGTCAAATATCTCAGAAACGGTAAGTGTCAGGATAAATGTACTTAGTACGTTTATGCTCAGAATTCGCTATTCTATCTATATCAGCCATAAAAAACTGGACATTCCATTGAAGACAACAAAAATGACTATTATTACCATATTATATTTTTCTTCAAATCCTACAACTTTCATTCGTAACATTTTCGCATATTGTTTGAAATAACGAAGATATTTCAGGTAGACAGAGTTCGAGGGACACACTGTATAATAATAATAATAATAACAACAACAATAATAATAATACAAATAAAATATGCATTTTAAATAAAACCATTTTTTAAGGATCATTGTTTCATTTTATGAAAATAAAAAATATTTTCTAATTTTCATTTCCATAAAATCCAAAAGATCCTTAAAAAATGGTTTTATCTCAAATGAATATTTTATTCCACATATAAGTACGAAACTGACACGTAATGTTTGTAATAATTAAACTGCGGATTTTATGCATTTTTAGCCTATAAGGTTCTGTGAAATAATAATAAAAAACAAAAATTTCATCAGATCCAACGAATTTTCTATTTTACTCTGAATCCAATAAGATACTTAAGAGAGAAAATAATGTTCTATAACTCCGCCATTTTGTAATTTTAAATAATAACTAATGTATGAAAAGAAGGTTAAAATGTTCCAATGTTTTATACAATAATTATCTGGGAAAATTTTTACATTTTACTATATATTACGTACTTTACAGTTGCCTATATTCTTACTCTTCACGTTCCAAACTATGATTCGTAGGCTTCAAACGAAACCATCACGACTAATACATAACATAGTTCTGCATTAAAGTTAGCATGTAATTTAAAAAGATATCACCATGGATTAAGTTATAAAGAATTTGCCTCTTTCATTATTAAAATTGTGTCGGCCTAAAAATGTTCAATTAACATTAACATATTACACACGCTTAATCATTAATGAATTAGTAATTGTTATTTATTTAAAAAGTATGTATCGTTATTTTTATCAAATAATTACTGTCCAATGATTTTTATGGTGGAAGGTATTTATAACTCCATCCGAATGGTCAAAGTCTACTGAAAATTGCAATGCAAATATGTTTGGCAACACGTAAGAAATATTCTAAACAATGCGAGTTCTAACAGAAGTTCTAACTATTTTTTTTAAACATCCAAATACGTAATAAGATGAATTGAACATTAGATACAATGTTTATATGATTTAGTTGTACATTTCTGTTTAATAACAATTTCTACAGAATATGTATTATACGAAAAATAATAGAATTTATTATTAGAGAGAACTAAGTAGTATGGTAAAGAATATCAAAATTATTGCTATGATAAATGTAATGAAACTCTGTTTCTTTGCATTTTGGCACCTTTGTACTTTATTTTTGTATGCAGATGATGCAAAGTGTATGAAGGCGTGCTGAAAATCAGCTCCATACAATGACTCGTGTTGAGGAGTCTTTAGATGCAATTATTAATAAACATAATGTGTATTAAAGTACAGACAGCAATACGTCAGACGGTCAGAAAAAAGGAAGCTGGGTCGTTTTGAATCTATGGTGACTTGGTGACGTTACTTTGTATATTTTATTTTGATATTTTAATCTGTATCTTCTAATCATGTTTTAAAAAGTAGTGATATGAATTAATGTGCATTAAAGTACAAACAGCGATACGTCAGACGGTCAGAAAAAAGGAAGCTGGGTCGTTTTGAATCTATGGTGACTTGGTGACGTTACTTTGTATATTTTATTTTGATATTTTAATCTTTATCTTCTAATCATGTTTTAAAAAGTAGTAATATGAATTAATCAGTGTCAAGAAAAAGTGGATTGCAGAATATTGTGCATTTATAACATGTACAATTTCTACAGGGTGCCCCTTAACTCTGTCCACCTCAAATGCCTGCATTATATCAAGTAATAGGCGGAAATATTACTTACAATAGTTGTATGGTTACAACAAAAACATTAGTATACTTAGTACTTTTATACTCAGAATTCGCTATTGTATCGAATTTGACCATAAAAAATTGAACATTTCATTTAAAAAATCAAAATGGACCTCCAGATCTCTACACCTCCACCTGTAAAGGAACTACATATTGCTGGCATGTTATGATTTGTTACAATCATACAATTTTTGTAAGTACATAATGCTGTTTACTTGATAGGATATACACCTTGTATAATAACATAGAATTTAATATAATTTATAAAATTTAATAATGATCCTGCATTATTTTTACCCTAATCGAACTCCAATAAAAGACAGAAATTTCCTTTTAATTTACACTTTCGCAAATTAATTTTTATGAATGTAAATTTAGCATAAATATCCAATATCTATTTAGAAGTTACGAATATAACATTTATTCATTTACGTACAAGTATGATTTAGTTATACAAAGATGTACAGTATAATTACGAATATACGATTAATTATTTATTTAATGGTTATTTATATTAGATAAATAAGATACATTTTTATGAAGAAATCCAAAAAAACTCCGAATTTCCACATAAAATAGTACCTATGGCCCAAAATAGACCCGACTGCGCCTTCGAGTAGTTAATAGAAAATTACTTATATACTGTTAACAAAAATTGTAATCATGGTAGACGTATGCTTACTGAACATGACTAATCTTGTTAAGGAAATATTATGGAGTTGTTAAAAATTGAATTAATTACTATCGCATATTAGATGGAGCCAATCAGTCTGTGGTATGTATAAGACATAATCGAAACGGAAGTTGCATAAATTCAAAGTGATATTGATTAATTAAAATAGATGCTAATTGATTCTGTACACCCTCTGACAACTCTATGACAAGAATGAAATTAAAGAAAACGAACAAAATACAATTTTAAGTCTGCGAATTTCACAGCAAAATTTTCGATGGATTCCTTTTTGGGAATTCCCCTTGCGACAAAACTACTAGAAAGATTATTCTGACACAGAATTTAATCAAATAATAATTTGTTAATACCGCTAAATAATACAAATAAAATAAGATAAATAATACAATAAAATAAGAATTTTAATGAAGCTCTATCTGTGTCACTAAATATAAAATATTGAAATAATACGAAACTTGGATAATATATGGTAAACAAAGAACATTACGTAAAGTTTTACGAAAAATCATTTTTTTTGCATCAAGAAATGCGACAAAGAAAATGTTAAATGATAGAAACTGTTAATGTTCATAATAAATGGATGAGTTAGTAAGTAATAAATAGCTATCGATATTAATTCATTTTAAGTAATTCTAATACAGAAATTTTCCATAGTTAATTTTCTGTAAATATATCGTATGCTATACATTAGAAAATGAAAAATAAATCGACATGTACAGTACTTCTCCAAACTTTGAGTACACATGAATTACAAGACATGAAAACAGTTTGTTATATGACACATTACTTAAAAAATCTACTGTATTGCATGGTTTCTATTTGAATGTACAGAACACATACAATGTGTATGTCATCATGTAGAATACAAAAACTGTACGTATATTTAAGCTGTTGGGCGGAGGTATATGTATGTATAGCTGTACAAGGTCGATGAAATCCAGCACGTGTATTATTTCGCCTACCCTTGTTTGCTGTAAGAAATCAATGCTATCATCGTTAAATTTGCATTTGGTATTACTCTGATAAATTTGTTCAGTTTCACTTTGTTTATACGGTGGTACGCGTGCAAATAGGAAGTACTCTTGAATTCAACGACATAATCATATTAACATGAATTTCATGTATAATTTATTCATGTAATATATCATTTGAAAGCACATTTCTCCGATATTGATCGGATTGAGTTTTATATTCAATGCATAATCATCAAGTATCTATTAAATATATATTAACACTTAAATAGGGAAATAATAGGCAAGTTCACGTTAAATACTGAAGTGTAACGAAAGTAATAAATTTCACAACAAATTTCGTTAAAGTAAATATTTACTTGATATTCAGAAGTTTCACACGGAAAATTGGTTTAATAACAAATATTTACAAAAAAATTAATAACGTACAGTGTCGTCATTTTTTACATTTTTCATATTCTACATGAACTATGTTCTAGAGTCACAATTTCATAAAGTTTCCTTATATGAAGTCAAAAAACTGTTATATTTAAAATTGCTTTTCCAATTATATGGCTAAATAAGTTTCCCATCTCAGACTTTGGAGGTTAGTTTCATCTCCTTAACATGATATATGAACTGCTAGAAAAAAAGGGTATGTGTCGCATATTTCTTATTTATTGCACTTATAGGAAGAAGTTTCATAAAACAAGACGTTCCACAATTGACTAATAAATGTTAATAATTTCCAAAAGGCTATTAAATGTTGCAAGTCAGAAGAGGCTGGGTGACTACGGGTGTGATAAATTGCACAATCTGACACAGAA